ATCAGCCTATGTGATATTGCTAATTTTTTGTCATTTTGTTCCTACTCTTAAAATTCACCTGGCTTGGTATATTTTTTTAAAGTTTATATATCACTTTTAGCACCACGGTAACATATTCTGAAATTTGTTTTCACCTGTAAACCTTTACTGAATGTGATTTGTCTATATTATTTTTATTGAAATATTACTAATATTTTCCAAGTCTTTTTCATATTCCATTTCTTAAAAGAAAAAATTCTAAGAACCATTCACTTTTCTAAAATTATGACATGATATCAAATCTTTTTCAAAGAAAAAAATTGTTTCTATCATCTGTCCTTAAATCCTTTACTGCGAGAGCTGGTAAGGCTCATTTATGACAACGTACAGCGTATAAACAAGATCATGTAGGTACATGTAACTCGTAATAACGAGTTAGTTATTTTGTTTCTGTTATCCATCTTAATTTGTTTGATTTTTATTTTATTCCAAATGAATCAGTTATCACAATTAAAGGATGTATATGTACATTTTTTTTATAGAACAAATAAGCTGAAATAGCCCTGTAATTCTGCCAGCCGCATTAATACCGGTATAGTCCTCGATTATCAGACTCTGTTTGCTATTGCAGATTTATTAATTTATTTGAGAGGTGGATTGCTTGGCATTTTGTACATCCTAATCGTAACCAATATATAAAGTCGTTGATCAAGTAAATTAACTAAAACAGTCATGTCACATAACTTATAGTAATATATTATATATAATTCATTTTATAACTTACCCGGGTTTATGTATCTTGTTACGGATCACTTCTAGTAAGGAGGATGACTGAGAGGCTAAGAGGCTTTGAATTTAAGGCACTGGCATTTTTGAAGGAGGGAGCCGTTTCATGAATCATATTTATATTTGTATTTACATTCTTGCCCTCTGTTATATATGCAAAATGGAAAATGATTGAACGAAATGACTTATTTCTACTAACATGAGAATTAGATTGGTTGAGTGACTTCAACGCATGAAGTCATATAACATATACTGCCACCAGTCATAAATAATTTTACCCCTGGTTCGTTTTATAATTAGTCTTGATAACCCAAATTTAAAGCTGCCTAGTTTCTAGTTACTGAAGAATATGTGTTTTCACTATATCTGTGGTATGAAATTTGTGTGTAAGCGAATTTTGTTAACTCAAGTGAAGTTTTCCGTAATCATTATCAGATAAACTATTGATTATTAACGGACTGTTTCTGTAAAATAGGAAGTAGAACCAAATTTCGTTCCGTCTATTTATATGTTTGCAAATTTTAATTCATATATTAAAACGTTTTTTTTTTCTTTTCAAAATTCCCGATTTCCTCATGTACATCAAACATTATAACTTAATAGCGACATAATACGGTTAATATCTACTATTTACAGCCTATCGATATACAGTTATACCTAAAACTTGCACAGCATATGCAGGAACAGTGGTGAATGTAGATGGTGCTGGACAACCGAATAATGAGAAACATGTCGATTTGTGGGATCAACAAAAGTAAGAACAAATAAACCTAGCATGTTCCTAGTGTTTACCGATTTAAACAGTATCTCAAATCTTAAATGAACAAAAAAGTTATTAAAATATCTCTCATGTACTTCGGCACCTATTTGTAATGTCCTTTTTAAATCATAAATCAAACTTAGTTCTAGAAACAGGAAAAATTGAATAGTTTTGTGTATCAGAACTGTAATTTTGTTTTGATTTTTATTTCAATGTGCGTCGAGTACGGTCGTTACTTTACCTTCTGCATGCAATCATCTATAATATTTTAAAATGAGGGCAAACTGATATTATAATATTATTTAATGCTCATTTCATAATCCTCTTATTTTGCATTTTGTTTCCATAAGGTAAGAAGTTATAAAATTGCAATATATCTCAGTTGCATCTTTAATGTAAATTTATATTGAATTTAAAATGATGAGTAAATAATTAACATGTGTTTCATTTTTTTTCAGCTTTGATAAAAAATGAATTTTACACTAGTTTAAAAACAGAAAAGCAGAAAATTGCACTGTACACACCGAATTACTGGAGAGTATAGACAACTACAAAAACAACACTGCCATTGCCGCCAAAATGTACGGTTTCAGGTTTGATGGAAGTGATTACATCACCATAGCCTGCGAAGTTGGTGTTTTTCCACAGAATTCTAAACAGGTTAGTTGAGTAATCATAGATCGTGGTTTTTTAGTTCTTTCAATATTAATTCATTTTTTTATACATGTAATACTTGTATTTTATAAATTTGAAAGAATTTTCATAATTTTGTTTTAATAAATTTTGTATAATGCCTCATAAAAAGTTACAAATAGACTGCAAGGATTGGCGTATACATGTATAAATAAATCACAGGCACTTGTTTCGGAAATAAATTTTTAACCTGTACTATTATACTATAGGTTAAAAATATATTTCCAAAACAAGTGCCTGTGAAATAAATCCGTGTTAAAATATGCATGAAGATACAAGTTATAAGATAAAAGAAAATACTTTATTAACCAATCTAGGGCCCCGAATGGCATTTAAAAATACACAAAAATGTGCATGATTTAAACATTTAACATTTTTATAACAGAAATAGATATTTTTTTATTCTTAAGATTTAAGAAAAAATATAACAAATGTTCCTATATGGCTCCGCCCGAGGGAAATATATTTCTTGGCTGAATAAAGCATCATGTTTCCTAAATATTCATGCATTATGAATTGTTTATTATAAACAATCAGGATCTTCAAAACAAACATAGAATTGCAAATTCGTCACTACTTCCATCTATTATATTTTGAACAGTTCAAATCAAAGTACTGTGACAGTACTGACAGCTTAGGTAAAATAAACTTCCAGCATGTATTATTTCTTTTAGAACAAACAGAAGCCCTTGGGACAAGAATACTTTGTGAAAAATCTGAAAAAAAAAAAATTGGCCCCAGGGCTCTTAAGACATGGCCCATATTCAAGATTGTTTAGCACGCCGCGTATGTTCATAGAGAAGATAAGACAATTAGGCATATTTTACTGAATAAAGTTTTGTTAATGTATACTAAAATACTATTGCTATCCTTTTTATTGCTATACATCTAGCATGTTCTTTACAATTGCTACAGTTCTTTGAAATGATATACCGGGTATTAATTTCTATTTATAGATCATATTCTCTCCATGAATAAGTGCGCAAAGGACATCTTGATTTTTTATGAATGAACAATTCTCTTTTCAGGTTCATTTGAATGAATCAAGGCTTCCCTTGGAGTTCTGATTTTGTCGTCATTCTGCAGCATATTTAAGTAAAAAAAAATATAAGAATGATACATTTTGTACATCGACAGATGAGGAAGCATTAAAACACTCCAGTAAGGATTGTGAGGATTAATATCATGTTTTAATTTTCATCAAATTGAATGACGAATATTTTTCAAATAACAAAACACTAAAAAATTAAATGAACGACTATTTTAAATCTTACTTTTTGAAAAAAATAAACAAATCAACAGAAAATAAACTTTATTCCATGAAACATTTTGATGTTTATTCCATGGGTCTGAAATGAGATGCATGTCACTGGTGCCATTTTTTGCTAAACATTTAATAATTTTTTTTATTATCATCAGTATACATTTTTACTACCAGCTCGACATTCAAAGACAAAAGGTAATCATTTTGTAAAGGACATATTTTTACATGTGACATACTGCACCATTATTCCAAAGTACTTTGATATGTAAATCAACTAACTCGTTTCTGTTCACGAGAGCCAAGGTACCTGCACTCGATTTTTTTAATTCTACATGACTGTGTAATAATATCTTTGAATCGCTTAAACTTTAAATATTGTGTTCAAAGTAAATATAATATGATTAAATTTATTCAAGTGATTGTTTTCTGGTAAGTCTATACAAATATATGTATTATAATCCTTTATAGATATACTAGCTTGGAAATGTTCGTTGTTTTTTTTTTTTTTTTTTTTTGTTCTTGTTCCTTTTTTAGATTGTGAGCAATTGTTATGTAAATATTATTATACATTACAGTTGTATGATAATTGTAATATTTGCATTTCATGCCTCAATTCAGATGGCATTTTCTAAAATGGATATTCAACGTTCATACCAACATTTTGTAAAATGTGACATTGAAAAATGCTAATGAAATTGTGAGTTTTATTGCAAAATTTGTTACGAAAGATTGTGCAAACATTGCAGAGATGAACATCTGAAAAGTTCAGAAAACAAGAACCATGAGGTGGTCTTATACCAACAACGCCATGAAAAACATCTTGTTGAAAAATGCAAGATCCACTCTACTAACGATACGAAGATGTTCTGTGAAGTTTGCAACGTTCCAGTATGTTTCAAATGCATCATACTGGAAGACCGTTCCTTACATACATTAGCTGATCTATTTGATCTCCGTGCAAAGCAATATGTCGACTTCCTAGAGCAAGAAATCCACAAAATTCATGCATACTACCTTCCCATTTCGAAAGATTTACAGGAAGAAATTAAAAAAAAGATTTCTCAGAAGTAAAACCACCATGGACAATATAAGAACATTCATGAAAGCCGAGGATGAGTCGTATCTAAGAACATGAGGGAGGTAGACCAGATAGAGAATTCCTTGTTTGTAGATCCTCACACCCAGTACAGGGCATTAGATGATTACATCACTTATCTAAATAACCTTCTAAAAGAGCTTAACAAATGCGTGTCCTTTACAGAACCCCACATCCTACTGCTTGAGAATAATTCAAAGATCCAGTCCATACTAGAGATAACAAAACCAGTCACACCAGAATTTACTGCAGGTCATTACATCAAAAGTTATGTCCTCAAATTACTGGGTAAAGTAAACTTTCCCAACACTAGGGCAGAGACGAGAAAAAAAAGGTCCATTGAAAGAGTCTTCAGTGCAGCAAAGAAACCTTCAATAAAGCAGATGAAAGAAGACAGAAAGGAATCTGCCAAAAATTAAATTATGCGTCTGTCTGCCTCTATCACGAAGATAAGGGAGCTCAATGTACCATGTATCAATGGTATATATCATATGTCCTTAGATCAACTTGGCAAACTTTGGAGCAGTGACAGAGATGGAAAAATTATTCAAACAGATCTACATGGCAAACAGATACAAAAGATAAAAGTTACAGGTGGACAGGAGGGTAACCATACAATCACACAGCTCGGAGATCTTATCTTTACAGACAAAGTCGGGAAAGCCATCAACAGGCTAGCACAAGATAAGAACATCACCCATTTCATCAACACTGGGATTTGGGAACCCTACAGCATATACTACGCGCACATCAACGGGGAGATCCTAGTGGGTATGAGGAAAGATAGAGAGGATAAAGTCACAAGATTCAACAAAACAGGAAAAGAACTTCATAACATACTGAGAGATAACAAAGGAGGGGAACTTTACAAATCCCCACAATTCATCACAGAAAACATCAATGGAGATATCTGTACTTCAGACTATCATATGCGAGTAGTGGTGGTGAATAGATTAAGGCAACACAGGTTCTTCTGTAGAGGTCAGAAGTCAGTGTTTTGCCCCTATGAAATCTGCACCGATGTCTTCGCTCACATTCTGGTGTGTGATCGTTTAAGTGATACTATTTACCTCCTTGATCAAGACGGTCAATTTTTGTCTCTATTATTTACATGGCAACAGGGGGTATACGGTCCCCGTAGTGTTTGTGTGGATGATGAGAACAATCTGTATGTGGGAGAATATATCATAAATACCCTTACAGTGTACAAGTACCTTGATTCCTTCCCCGATCCTATGTCTTCTATTTCAATTAAAAATGTTCTACAAAAAAATTGCAAAATTTTTGACATTCTGATAACTACAGTCCCTGAAACGTTCTACTTTCCCACCTGAACGGTGAACGAACGGTGAACTAACGGTGAACGAACGCAGAGCAAACGGTGGGTGAACGATTTGCGAACGCTGAACGCAACTTGGTAAACGATGTGTGAACGGTGAACGGTGAGTGAACACAGAACGCAAACGGAGCGCGAACGCGAGCGCAAAGTGAACAGTTAACGAACGGTAA